AAGGGGGGCAGAGGACACTACTGTGGGGAGTGATGTGAAGGGGGGCAGAGGACACTACTGTGGGGAGTGATGTGAAGGGGGGCAGAGGACATTACTGTGGGGAGTGATGTGAAGGGGGGCAGAGGACACTACTGGAGGGAGTGATGTGAAGGGGGCAGAGGACATTACTGTGGGGAGTGTGATGTGAAGGGGGCAGAGGACACTACTGGTGGGGGGGAGTGATGTGAAGGGGGCAGAGGACACTACTGGGGGGAGTGATGTGAAGGGGGCAGAGGACACTACTGGGGGGGGAGTGATGTGAAGGGGGCAGAGGACACTACTGGGGGGGGGGGAGTGATGTGAAGGGGGCAGAGGACACTACTGGGGGGGGAGTGATGTGAAGGGGGGGCAGAGGACACTACTGTGACTTGCTGTGTGTTCTTCATACCATCTTTTTATAGGTGGCTTAATTTTCGCCCTTCCGAAGATCTTTGATTTCCTCCATGTTGTCCAGGTGGATGTCAACCTCTGAAAGATATGCCTTCCTCTGGTCTATGCCATATGTCATGGAATGCAACACCAGTGCATGGAACGTGCGCTGTGTGACCTGGACCCAGCTGGACTTCCAGAGCCCTGCCACCTCAAATCACAGACCTGTGTGAGGAGTGCTCAGAGCTAATTGGGGAGTAGGGATCATGATCAGGGGGTGCGGGAGGGTGGTCTTAGACCAGCATCTGTGCATGTGGTGTGGGCGGTGAATACTATAGAAGCAGCCCTGGAAGCCCTGTTTGTAGGTGGAGTCCCAGCACCATGAAGAAAAATTACGAACTGACAGGTGGGACTGATAGGTCTATCTATGATATTGGAATTGATAGTTGTGGTAATAACAGATCTTCTCCAAGGCTCAACAATCCATGCAGACAGATGCAATTTGCTCCTGTTAGCCCACCACAAACCCATCAGTAAAAGTCCTCAATAGTGTTCAGAGCCAGCAGACGGAAAAAACACGATAAAATTCAGGGATTTAATTTCAGTACTCACAACAACAAATAAGTGTATGCTATTTAGTTGTTAAAAAAACATTTGTTTATATTTAATGTTCATATACAAATAGACAGTAAATAACTCTTTGAAATGTCCATCGTATGATACAAACATCCATATTGAAAGTTATCTAATGATCACACAAATAATTACATATAGTTACACATAGTTACATAGTTAGTCTGGCTGAAAAAAGGCAAAAGTCCATCCAGTTCAGCCATTAAAAAAAAAAAAAAAGTTATAATCCTACACCCTCAGTTGATCCAGTGGAAGGGCAAAAAAAACCATCAAAGCATGATCCAATATGCTCCTGCAGGGAAAAAAAATTCCTTCCATACATATTCCATATTGATATTGTAGATAGGCTGTCACATGATAAGAGACTCCTCCTAGTCCATTCAGCTCCACAAGAGTGGGGATGCTGGTGGCATCATTGATCCAATATGACCAAATCTGGTCAAAGGCTCCATGTACAATAAAGTTTTTTTTTTTTTTTTTTTAGGCTCCATGCACAGGGCCGGTGCTAGACTATTTTTGCACCCTAGGCAAGACCACCTATTTGCACTCCCCCCCCCCCCGAAAAAAAATAAAACCTCACCTGTAGTTCTACTTCACCTTTCCTAGCATACATCCTCTTTCCCCTCAAATTTTCCAACCTAGCACAAATCCTCTCTCCCCAATTCCACATCCTCGCGCAACCCCCCTCCAAATTACCCTTCCCAGCACAAATCCTTTCTCCCATTCAAATCATTCCTTCCTAGCACAAATCCCCCCTCTTAGCATATTTGCCCCAATCCTCTTCCTAACACAAATACCCCCGGCCCCCTCTCCTAGCACAAATTCCCTCATACCCCCTCCTAGTAAAAAATCTCCACTCCTAGAGGAGATTAAGGGGGAATATGATCATAAGGGGGATTTATGAAATCTCCATGTATACTACATAAGGGGGGGGATAAGATATCCATGTATATATACATAAGGGGGGATATTGATCTCCATGTATAAATACATAAGGGGGATATGATTCTCCATGTATAATTACATAAGGGGGGGATATGATCACCATGTATTAAACATAAGGGGTGGGGGTGGGGGGTGGGGGGATATGATCTCCAAGTATAATATATAAGTGGGGGGATATTGGAATCTCCATGTATATATACATAAGGGGGGATATGATCACCATGTATAATACATAGGGGGGGATATGATCAGCATGTTTATAATACATAAGGGGGGATATGATCACCATGTTATAATACATAAGTTGGATATGATCTCCATGTAATAATACATAAGGGGGATATGAATCTCCATGGTATAATACATTTAAGGGGGGGATATGATCTCCATTTATAATACATGAAGGGGGGGAATATGATCTCCATGGTATAATACATAAGGGGGGAATATGAAATCTCCATGTATAATACATAAGGGGGGATATGATCTCCATGAATAATTCATAAGGGGGGGGGAATATGATCTCCATGTAAAATACATAAGGGGGATATTGATCCTCCCTGTATAATACATAAGGGGGGATATGATCACCATGTATAATACATAAGGTGGATATGATTCTCCATGTCTAATTACATTAGGGGTGGATATGATCTGCCAAGTATAAGTACATAAGGGGGATAGTGTATAGATTTTGGTTTGCTATTAGCTAACTTTGATTGGTGTCATGACTGCGATCAGATGTTATCTACACCTATCATACTGCGTATGGTAGGATCTGATACATCGCGAGGAATGCACTTTATCCCATCTCCACTGAATGAGGGAGAATATACCTGAGTGACTGAATCCTTCAAGATCCACCGCCTAGATTATAGTCGAATTAGACAACCCTCATACTGATGGACGACGGCGAGATCTATCCCCCCGCAGAACACTCGACCCCCCTACACCCGCCCCCCCCCCCCTCTGTCCCCCCCGACGCATCTCATAGGCTCCCCCCTCACCCTCCCTCTCTATCTGTTGGGGGTCCCTCAAGGCTCGTCTCAGGCCCTTTCTCTTCTCATCTACACCTCCTTTACTTGTCCAACTCATACACTTCTCAGCGGCTTCAACTACCAACCTCTATGCCGACGGACCACACTAATCTAATCTCGTCAACCCCCCCACCTCACCCGCCTCGGTCTCCTGCCCGGAATCACACACCTTTAACTGAGCGACAAATCATAGATGGCTGTCGCTCCACTTTCCTTAAAACTGAACCTCTCCAAAACCGAGTTTCTTGTCTTCCCCCCAGGCCCGGGACACCACCCCCCCATTGACTTCTCCATCACATCCAACAATGCCACCATCAAACCCGCCCCCACAGGCCAGAGTACTTAGTGTCATTCTAGACTCCCAACCTATACTTCCAGACCCCAAGTCCCAATCTTTAACAAACTCGTGCAGACTCCACACTCGCAACATCGCACCAAAATCCCGCACGTTCCTAACCCCAGAGAAACCACTAAACAGCTCATCCCACTCCCTCATACATATCACGACTCGACTACTGCAACTTCCCCTCCTCACTGGGCCTGCCTCGCCGCTGGCTATCCCCGCTTCAGTCCATCCTGAATACGGCTGCCAGACCTCATTCCACCTTTCCAATCACCGCTCCATCTCCGCCACCCCCCGCTGCCAATCCCTCCACTGGCTTCCGATGCCCCCATGGATTCAAATTCAAAATCCTAACACAGACGTACAAAGCCGTCCACCATACTGCCCCGAATACTACATCACCGACCTAATAATCCAAAGTATCCGCCAACACGCACTCACTCCGCTCCTCACAAGACCTCCTTCTCTCTAGTTCCCTGGTCTCTGGTATTGATTCTGGAACACAAAGTCCTCTTTTCCCTTTTTTTCTCTTTTATACCAAAAAAAATCAAAGAACAAATACGTGGAAATACTTCTTGTATGAGATCGCATCACAGTCCCACATCCTAGTCAATAATGAAGTTCAATGTTTTCCTCGTTGGTAGTCCTTTGGATAGGGTGGTTTTCCTGCTCCATGCTAGTGCTGCCAAACGTAGGGCATTTTTTTTTTACTCTATATAGTGCTTAGACATGTGTTACTTCTTGTAATAATATGTTCATAAGAAATTCTGTTTGTACTCTGGCTATCTCAAATTCCTTCTATAAAGTTCATATTCTTGCGGTTCTGTATCAGTCTTAATTTGTTTTTTTTGAATAAGCATCCTAAAGAGTGATAAATGGATATTAAAATACAATTACAAACATAATTGAAGATTTATAGAATAATGATTTACTGTAATATATCTAGGTTCACCTTTCCAGCAGGACAACAACCAGAAACCATCCAACCATAAGCTACAATTGGTATGGTTTTATATCAATAGCACACTCATTTGTTAGATATGGCCCAGTCACAGTCCCGACCTAAAACCCAACTGAGAATCTGTGGCAAGACTTGGAAAATTGGGTTCACAGGACGCTTCTCCATCGAATCTGACAGAGGATGAGCTATTCGCAAAGTAGGAATGGGCAGAAATGTCCCTCTCTAAGATGTGCAAAGCTGTTAGTAGACAGTACCCCAAAAAGAACCTGCTGTTGGAATTGCAGTGAAAGGGGGTCCTACAAAGTATTGAACTAAGGGGGGCCGAATACAAATGCACACCACACGTTTTCACAATACTTAATTGTGAAAACATGTTTTGAAAACCCATTTTCTTCATTTTCCATTCCACTTCAACAATGATGTGCCACATTATGTTGGTCTATCACATAAAATCCCAATAAAATACATTTACGCAGGGGTGGACTGACCATCTCGAGCAACTCTTCGCCACTGCCCGAGGGGGCCGGGGTCAGTGGGGGGCCCTATTAAAAAATGCCCCTGGTACCTTTTTAGTAGGCTTTTTTTGGTGTTTGTGATTTGAGTGTGGGCAAGGACACAGGGGCCCCAATGGATCCGCCAATTGCCTTGGGGGCAACATGAGTTGTCAGTCCAGTGCCCATCATTGTTGTCTGTGGGATGAATAGACCCCATCATTGGTGTTCTAGTTGGAGGAATACGAGCCCCATCATTGGTATCAGTGGGAGGAATAGTTGTCTCATCATTGGGTCGTCAGTTGGAGGAATAGTGCCCCATCATTGGTGTCAGTGGGAGGAATAGTGTTTCCATCATTAGTGTACAGTGGGAGGAATAGTGCACCACATCATTGGGTATCAGTGGGAGGGGAAATAGTGATTCCATTCATTGGTGTCAGTGAGAGAATAGTTGCCCCATCATTGGTAACGTTGGGAGGAATAGTTGCCCCATCATTGGTGTCAGTGGGAGGATTAGTGTTCCATCATTGGTTGTCGGTGGGAGGAATAGTTGCCCCATTATTGGTGTCAGTGGGGAGGATAGTGCCCCATCATTGGTGTCGTTGGGAGAATATTGCCCCAACATTGGTGTCTTGGTGGGAGGACTAGTGCCCCATCATTGGTATCAGTGTGGAGAAATAGTGCCCCATCATTGGAGTCAGTGGGAGGAATCGTGCCCCATCATTAGTGTCAGTGGAGGAATAGTGCCCCATCATTGGTGTCAGTGGGAGGATAGTGAGCCCCAACATTGGTGTGCAGATGGGAGGAATAGTGTCCCCATCATTAGAGTCAGTGGAGGGAAATAGTGCCCCATCTTGGAGTCAAGTGGGAGAAATATTGCCCATCAGGAGGAATAGTGCCCATCCATTGTGTCAGTGGAGGAAATATGGTCCCATCGATTTGGTATTTTGTCATGTGAGGAATAGTGACCCCCATCATTGGAAGTCAGTGGAAGGAATAGTGCCCATCATTGTATCAAGTGTGGGGGAAAGGGGGGGGGGGGGAAGAGGGGGGAATGAAATGTACCCATCCATTGGTGTCAGTGGGGAGGAATAGTGCCCCATCATTGGTGTCAGTGGGAGAATAGTGCTCATCATTGTGTCAGTGGGAGGATAGTCCTCCATCAATGGTGTCAGTGGAAGGAATAAAGCCCCATCATCATTGGAGTCAGGGGGAGAAATAGTGCCCCCAATCTTTGGGTGCCCAAGTGGGGGGAAAAAGTCCCCCAAACTTTGGGTTATAAAGTGGGGGGGAAATGTCCCCATCATGGTGCCCAGGGGAAGGAAATTGTGCCCCATTTTTGGTTGGGGGGGGGGGGGGGGGGGGGGGGCCCAACATTGGGTTGCAGGGGGGGGGGAATGGGGTGGCCCCATATTGGTGCATGGGGGGGGAATAGGGGCCCCCTCTTTGGGTGCCCATG